TGACTAGCTATCCTTACCTATTAAAGCCCCTGCTTTCCCTGAAATTTGTGCTCTTGACTGCAGTATGTATTTCCAAAAGCACAATCTACAGTCGATTCTAGCACTAACAGTCATGTTTAAAGAAGGAAAAATTGTTAGCAAAATTAATCATCAAGACACCTGAACTACTTCTTTCCAATTTTTGAAAGAAATCAAGGGAAAAGAAATCAAAGGGAAAATTGGAAGTGGTTAGAGAAGTTCCCAGTCTAAAAAGAGATCACTTCCAGAGATTGATGGTTCATAGGGCAAAGAAGTCTCTAAGATGTTTGTGTAGTCTACCTAATCACCTAGGCAATCTTCCTTAGCAGCAAGATAAGGCTAAATTTTACTTAAATTACACTTTAAGACTTCCATGCCTCTATGTCTGCAATACACTTATGAAGCTCGTAAGTTAAAACTTATACTCACCTCAGCAACCACAGTTTACACATAGTGAAAATATTTCCCTCCTCTACATACATAAATGATGAGAACCAGACCTAGTAAGTAAGAGAACAAGGAGGCTGGGGATTATCCCTTAAACTTAATGTGTTTTGGTCCCTTGGATGTTATGTTTAGGAATTATCTCCTTCTGGTCTCACCCAGAAGTTGGTTCTTTCTGCAGGGTCGCAGGTTCAGTCTCCCAAGGGAGATGGTTACTTACAACACTAAGATGGGACATGGCTGTCATGTGTGTTTGCCTGGTCAGGTAAAATGCTATATCTTATCTTACTTAGAGACAGGGTATGTATCTCTCATCTAAGATGACTTCCTTGTCTTCTGTGTTAGCAAATGCTCATTTTCTGTGGGTTCAACTTAAAGGTTTAGTTGTTGTATAGGAGGAAAAGACTGAGAAAGTTCTGGGTTCCTTCTGCTCTAATCTTTAGGAGAAACATGCCTATAAAAAGGGAAGTATGAAGTGAAAGGAAAATATTCAGAAAAGAGATCAAAAGAAGGAAGTCTTTTCTTCTTATTGTCACAGTGAGTTATTGAGACAATTTGCCATGAATCTATCACCCTCAGCCTGTGGAAAGGCGAGAGTAGCGAATCTCAAGAACTAAGATTGCTTCCTCACTAATGAAATATCAGACTGGAAAAGAAACTGAGGCAGAATAGGTTAGGCATTCCTGCTAGAGTGTAGAGGGGATCGGGTCAGATTGTGCCTGTGAAAGTTGTCATCCAAGTCTTAAGATCGGCTACTGGTATTCTGTCTTTTAACTGACAGATGCAGTCTCATAATTTATTAATAAGCATGTATATTTTCTAAATATAAATTAGAGTTCATAAAAAGACTTATTTTACAGAATTTTATATCAAAGTCTGCTAGGGGACACTTTCACATTACTTTTCCCTAGTGCTGTTGTCTAAGTCAAACTGGTCAAGCAAAGAGCACCAATAAATTCAATAAATTCATATGTAGTTTACACAAAAGGAACACGAGATTATACAGGAACACAAGATTTTGCATCTAAAAGCAAAATGTTGAGACTGGGTGTGGCATGGGCCTATAATCCCAGCTCCTGGGAGGCTGTAAACAGACGGATCACTACAAGTCCGATCTAGTAGTGAGACCCTGAACACCCTGAATACTCTTCCCTAAAATACAAAAAAAAAAGTCATCAAAGAAACATCCTAATCTTCCCATGTTCTCAACTTAAATTTATCATAATTTAAACAAAAACAATGCATAAAAGGCGTACAATTCAAGGCATAATCAATTGACAAACAAGGATGACAATTCTTTTTTTTTTTTTTGACAATTCTTGATTACTAAAAGCGTCACAATCCTGAGTCCATGAAATGAAAGCAAACCCTTCCTTCCAATGATCTCACTGGGGCCTCCAGATGATATTGGTCCTCCCAATGACATAAGGGAACTATGACTTCAAACTTGCTAGGTGTCTTATACTCCAAGTCTGTGCTCCCCAAAATCAAATAATTAATTCTAAGGAACAACAGAGGTTAAGAGTAGAAAAATTTATTGAGGGAGAAATAGTTCCTAAGAGTCAGGAGAGGGCCCATGTGGGTTGCCAATGAGGCCACTTCTCAAAGGAAGTTTTATAGAGTAAAACTTAGGCGGGTACAACATGGGACAAAACTATGATCAACCAATAGGATTACAAGTATAGCTGCTTAGGTAATGTTGGTGCAGAGGGGAAGCAAGTCACATAGCAAGTGTACATGGAAAGAACAAGGACCTTTTTGGGAAGAGATGAGTCAGAAGGTCCTGGTTACCCAGGCTGTTGTCTATCTAGACCTTATTGGAGCAGGTGATGCCAAATATAGTATATTACTTACGCCCCATTGTAGTATATTCTCACCCTCTGCACCGACTCCTATGAGGGCCGAGCCCTGCTTGACTGCCTTTCCTATTTCTACCTAACTTAGTTGCATGTAATAAAACCGTGCAGGGGAGAAATGAGGAAGCCTCAGGGACAGACCTGGATCAGCTTAAGGGCTCATACCAGTAGGCTATAGGTGAAGAACATTTCACTGTATGTATGTAACATTTTAAAATCCTCTTGTTATTTTATGGACATTGTAGTTGTTTCTGCCTCTTGGTTATTATGAACAATGCAGCTATATACACTGGTGTAATGTCCTACCAATTTTATATCCTGAACTACAAATTTTTTTTTTTTTCTGAGACAGGGTCTCTGTAGTGCAGGCTGGACTAGAACTTACTATGTAGACCAGCCTGGCCCTCAAACTCATGGAAATCCTCTTGCCTTGGCCTTCTATGTGCTAGAATTATAGACCTGAACCACCACACCTGGTGTGAACTAAAATTTTGATTAAGCCCTTTACCCCTACTGGTTCCATAGCCTCTGGAGGCAACTAAGAAACTTCAAAGATCTGTGGGAAGAGGATATCCAAACCTTCATACTCTGACACTAAGACCCCAAAGCAAAAGGATGGCTGATGGAAGGGAGAAACCCCTTACAAGCAAATATTTATCCTCACAACAATCTTGCCATGTGGCCAGTATCCCCATTTTACAGATGAAGAAACTGAGGCACGACATAAAGACCTTTTGCCCAAGGTCATCACTAGTGGTGGTAGAACAGGAATTTGATGTAGTCAACCTGTTTCACCCTTCATTCCACCTTTATTTTAGACCCAGCACAGCCCCTAAGGCAAGGTTACCCCCAGAGGAGTGGTGGCAGCTCCATTCTCAGGTGACTCCCAGCTTAGAGAACTTAGTGAGAATGTCCTTGCCTGCTTCTAGACAGGAGACAATCAAATAGCTACTCCTCAGTAGCAGCTTGTATGGGGGCTGGAATCTTATGCCCCTGGAAGGTGATCCTGGGGCAATCTATGTAGAACTCACAGTATATCTAAATTAAAAAAAGTATTTGTTTTGTGTGTGTTATTGAGGATTGAACTCAGGGTCTTTGCACTGAGCTATGCCTTCAGGCTTTCTTGCTTTCTAAGACAGGGTTTTGGTAAGTCCCAGATGAGACTTGCAATCCTTCTACTTGGTGTGCTGTGATTAGGCATGTGGTTTATGTCACATAGATTTTGCCACCAAGAAACATTCACAAAAATCTGGGCAAGGTGATGTGCACTCATAGTCCCAGCTACTCAGGAGGTTGAGACAGGAGGGTTCCTTGAGCCCAGAAATTCAAGAGTTCAAGGCCATCCTGGACACCCTCTCTCTCTCTCTCTCTCTCTCTCTCTCTCTCTCTCTCTCTCACACACACACACACACACACACACACACTGTAGACCAAGCTTGGATATTCCCAGATTGCATTGCAGAAGAGGCTAGGGAGTAAGGAGTGAGCACTGAGGTCTAACTACATGAACAGTGAGCATGGGATGTGGCTGTCTTGGTGTCCTGGGGGATGTGTTTGAGACACTAAAGAAAGAGGCCCAGGCACTATGGCAGCCAACTTCTCTTGACTGAGTGTGGCCTAGCAAGCACAGCCCAGTAAAGGTCAGGTAGAAATGCTTGCTCAGTTCCTCCAAGTGCTCAAATGGAGACATTATCCTTGTTATGGTTTGTGTCTAGTTGTCCCCCCAAAGCCTCATGCAGTCATGGGGCGGACTTCTAGAGTTTGTGATTAACTCATGATCCACTGGGATTATGGGTGTGAGTGCTGCTGGATTATGGGTGTGAGTACTGCACCCAGCCTGGGGCAGATAGCCTGAATGCAACATAAGGGAGACTTGCTTTCTGTAGCCACTGTTGCTGTTACTCCTCCCTTTTGCTCTTGCTGTTTTGCTGCCTTCTGCCACCATGAGCTACTGCTCTCTGCCATGTGCCAGTCTGCCTTGGAGCCAGCTGAGTATGGACTGTAATCTCCAGTAACTATGAGCTAAATAAACCTTTCCTTCCTTCATTTTGAGTGTCAGGCATTTGTCTCAGTAATGAGAGAAGAGTAACTGAGACAATCCTCTATCCACCCATTTTATAGATGGAGAAACTATGGCTCAAAATAGCATGTCTTTATTGAAAACCATATACACCACTGTGTGTAGGCTTTAAGGTGCCCTGGAGAAGATCTCAAGCTATCAGACCCTTGCTCAGTGTCACACATAACTTAGATGAGGTTGAGCAGGGTGGATGATAAATGATAATCTGGGAACAGAGGCAGACTCCGCGGACTTCCCATAAGAAGCTGCAAGTAAATCTTAAAGGGCAGGAGGACTTGGAGAAGGGGGAGGAGGGTTGTCCTGAGACTGTCGGTGTTAGGTCAGTGTTACAATTTATGGACTTGGCTTAACCTGATGTAGACCACAAGACATGGGGTTGTCACAGGATGTGAGGCTGGACAAGGTGGTGTAGGAGCTCCAGCCACAAGTGATGAAGGCTCTGGCTCTGGCCTGGAGATAGACAGGAGCTTCTGCAGGTCCTAGATTAAGTGGGTAGGACTCTCCACTCCAGATGTACCCAGGGCTACACTCCCCCAGGTCTGGGAGGAAACCCTCTTGCATCACCATTTTCCAAATCAGAACTATTTCTGCTTTTTGAGTATCTAAGACTGGTACAGCTTCCTCCAGAAGGCCATCTTCTTCTCCCTGAGCTTTGCACCCACTTTTATGATAAAATCCAGCTGTAGGTACTTTTCATCCTGGTCGAAGTGTGGCCAGTATGTCAGCTTTCCACCATTGGGGTTCCTGGCCCAGAAGAGGAAGCAGGGAGGATTCTTGTGATTTCTCCTTTCTCTGTGTCCTCTCAGCCCTCCCTCATTTTCCTTCTTCTTCTTCTTCTTCTTTTTTTTTTTGGTGTGGAACCAGGGATTGAATGCTTGCCAAGGAGGTGCTTATTCCACTGAGCCATGTCCCTGAGCCCCTCCCCCCACCCCATTTTCCTTTACCTTAGGAGTTTGAATCCAAAAGGGATTTGGGGAAATTATATTTGATATTTAGATAGTTTTTTTGGGGGCAGGATTGGGTATTGGATATGGGGCCTTCACACTAAGCTATATCTCCAATCCTTAAAAATATTTTGAGATAGGGTCTTGCTGAATTGATAAGGTGCCTGAGCTGGGTTCGGACTTGTAATCTTCCTGCCTCAGCTTCCCAGAGAACTGGGATTACAAGTCTGTGCTATCTCACCTGGTTTTATTTATTTATTTATTTTTATTTTTTTCCTGTATTTTAGGGAAGGGTCTACAGGGTGTTCAGGGTCTCACTACTAGATTGGACTCATAGTGATCTCCTGTTTACAGCCTCCAAAGTGCTGGGATTACAGGCGTGTGCCACCACCCACAGTCTCAATTACCATTTCAGCGTGCCCCAGGAGCGAGGCTGGCACGGCAGGCCTGGGGATTGAATCCCTGGCCCCTGCGCCGGCTTGCTTTAATACGCTGAGCTATTTGGCCAGCCCTCACCTGGCTTTAGACAGGTCTTTAAGAAACTGAGGGACTTTCAGGCAGAGGGAACAGCACATATAGGGTTTAGAGTCAGAGAAGACAAGAACTTTGGAGGAAGCACAAGTTCAGCAATATATGAAAACGATATGAATGAAGATATATGTGTGAAGGAGGTGACATAGGAGAGATCTTGAAGGGCCTTTCTTTCTTTCTTTTTTTTTTTGGTGGAACGGGGGATTGAACTCAGGGCCTTGTGCTTGCCAGGGAAGCGCTTATTCCACTGAGCCATCTCCCCGGCCCCATCTTTTTTTTTTTTAAGGGCTTTTCATGCCAAACTAAAAGGCTAAGACTTTATCCTGGAAAGACTGGGGAGCCAAAGAGGGTCTTAAGCAGGTAAGTGACTTGAGGAAATGATATTTCAGAAAGATCCTTCTAACAGCAGAGGAGGACAGAAGAGAGAAGGAAGAAATGCAAAAATAGTCAAGGGGAACCGAAGTTTAGTTATTACCTCTGCCTAAATACTCCTCTGCCACCTGGGGAGGGCCAGACTCTTCCTCAATACTTTCAAAAATGCCTAGTGTCATAATATCAGCACTCATGAGGCTGAGACAGAATTGCTGCAAATTTGAGGCCAGCCTGGGCTACCTAGCTCAAGGCCAGCCTAAATGTCATAGCAAGACCTTATCTCAAAAACAGAACAAAAAAACCCCATAAAGTTCCCACTGCTCCCCTGGTACACCTCTAATTGGGCATGATTGGAGTTTTTTTTTGAGGAAGAGTCTGGCTATGTAGTTCAGGATGGCCCTGAACTCCTTATATAGCCAGGCTGGCCTCAAACACAGCAATCCTCCTGCCTCAGCCTCTCGACTGTTGGGATAACAGATGTGTGCCACTACACATGGCTGGAGTTTTGTTTTTAAGAACTGTGGGAGAAGAGGATGCACATCCATGACATCCTTAAACCCCAGCTCCCACTGCTGGAACTTGGCACACAAGGAAGTGATCATTGGTGAATGACTCTAGAATGCTTGAGTGAGTGAGGAGTATGGGTTATGGGACAAACAGGGACACTTAGGACTTCATGACTAAGTGGGAGAGGTAAGGAAAGCCCTGGTGGGGTTGGCTGGGCAGCTCCTGTGTACATGCAGATGCAGATAACGCAAAGTAGCTGACCTTCAGGTCTCGCATTGCCCAGGTGTGTTGGGGGACCAGACTCACCCTGTACGGGCAAAATTGGCCCAGTATTTCATCATCTGGAGGCTGAGTGTCTTCTCTTTAGCTGTGGACAGACCTGGGGACAGAATGGGATGTGGTATTTGGGAGAGAGCAAGAGGCAGCAACTTCCCAGACTTTTATGTGCCAACATCAAAGACTAGGGACTGGCTTACTCCCTGTGGCCATTCAGTGGAGTGATGGGTCTGCATATACAGGTCGGGAGACTGGCTGTGCAGTGGGGGTATCAAGGGGGGGGTTTTAGCACCTTTGGAGAAGGGTTTCCCAAAGATGAAGCCAATCTCATCCCCGTGGTCGGCCCCATTATTTCGGGGTTTGATAATTATGCCTGAGCGAGCATGATGCTGAAACTCGTACAGGTAGACTTGGATGCCAGCATCTACAAATAGGGAAATTGAAGAAAGCAGCAGGAAAGGTTCCACCCTGGGCTTCCCATCCCACCCATGCAGCCCACCCACCTTCCTCAGGCAGGGGAAAGAGCTTTGGCTTCAAAGTCAAGAAAGTAGACTAGAATCCTGTCTGTACCACACTTTAGCTTTGTGATCCTAGGCAAGTGACTCAGCTGCTCTGAGTTCCTTGCTTGCAGAGTGGGGACACTAAAACCTAATTCATAGGATTATGGTAAGGATCATGGAAACCTTCCTCTTCCCTTTTCTCAACCTTCCTTTCTTGGCCTGGCATTTGAGGATCTGCAGTGTCTACACTCTCCAGCCATATGTTCCCAAACTCCAGCCAACCTATATAAGAATTTCAAGTTGCCCCTAAGTCTGTCCTCTAAGAAGTCTTCCTGGGCTGGAGAGATGGCTCAGTGGTCTAAAGCACCTACTTGGAACAAGCTTGGCAAAGCACAGGGACCACGGTTCGATCCCCCAGTACCACATGCCAGCCAGCCCCGCCCCCTGGTGGGCTGAGCTGGCCACACACACACACACACACACACACACACACACACACACAATAAATAAATGTAAAAAAAAAAAAAGAAAAAAAAAAGAAACCACATTATTAAAAAAAAAAAAAAAAAAAAAGAAGTCTTCCTGACAACCCTAGCTTTCTCATCTGGGCTTGCTGAGATGCTGCTCTTGTTCTGAGAAACAGCCTTTCCTCCCATAAGATGGATGGCTGCCTCTTCTGTGCATCTTGGAGCCCCAAAGTGGAGAGAGTGGATGGACAGTTAGTGAGCCAGCTGGAAATCAGCAGAGCTGGGGAGGGGGTGGAGGGGGCAACTCTCGGGGAACTGTCATACCCCGGCAGTAGCGGGCAGCTTGCAATGTGGGGTACACAAAGATGGCATCTCCAGCTAGGTCAGTCAAATGCGTCCGGACCATCTTCCAATCATACTTATCAGTGTCTCTCAGGTACTCATCCAATACAAGCGGTATGTGCTCCTTGGTGATATTCTGGGTGGAGAGGCTATACTCACCCTGAGGCCTGCCATACCAGCTGGACAAGAGGTGAACACACCAGTGACTTGGACCCAGGTTCAGTACTCCAGAATTTCCCCCAGTGGAAAACGGGGGCTTATGGACAGGGCCTCCCTTGGCTGATTATTACCCATTTTAGCTGCATAAGAACTGCCTCCCCTGTCCCTGAGGATGCCTGGGGACTTTCCCTATCAGCTTCCATATGATCCCACACCAAACCCCTTTGAGGATCTCCAAAAAAGATTCCATCCTTATTGAGTTCCCCTTGCAAAGGGCAGCTATTAGGTTAGAAAAAAGAGGAGGGGGTCAGAACTGTTCAAGCTGGGCACTCCTGCTCACTGGGTCCCTTACCAACAGCCTGCTGACACTCCAGAGGAGCTTGGTGACGATTTTTTTGTTTGTTAAGCGTGCATCAAGTGGGATCTTCATGATCTGTGCACAAGACAAGGACCCAGGTAGGGATTAGGCCTGAGAGCTTGCCCATCTGCATGGAGAATTCTCAGACAGAGAACATAGCCCAGAGAAGGTCCACCACCATGCCGAGTCCTCCAGTTCCTTATTCATCATTGCCACCTGGCTTAGAGCTAAAGTGGGGCTGGGAGGGTCAATCCTACACCGTCCCAGGAATAAAAAAGGGACGCAGGGTTTGTCATTTTCTGGAGGCTTAGGAATGGACATTATAACCCTATCTAAACTATGAGCTGAGAATTTCGGACCCCTAACCTCCAAGAAGCCAGCTTCTTCCCCCTCCCTTTCATCATTCCTTGCCAACTGTCCCTATTCAAGGAATACAGGAGATTCCCAAGCATTTGTGTGTCCTCAGAGGGGCTCTTGGGAGCTAATTTGGTGCCTAGAACTGCTGAAGAAGCATCCTTTGCCACCCAACTATTATGAGTGCCCTTCCCACTCACATAAGGCAAGAGCCAGCTGAACTCCTGGCTGTTGACACCTAGAAGGTAGGGCACAGGCAAAACAGGCCCCTGCATCAGGAGTGCCATAGGATCATCCAGGAACACGACACCATCCACCACAGGGCTCAGGAACCATGTTATCTGCAAGGCCATGGCATTCTATCCAGTAATCCCACATATGCACACAAGGTCACCATGACCTAGGGTGTATAGCTCAGCATGTCATCCTCCAGGAATTGTTCTAACCTAGGCTTTTTGGGGAAAAAACTGGGATTGGCCATGATGACCCTTTGGAAACTGGGTATTAAAAGGATAGACAGGACTAGGACACTCAGATTTGTGATGCTTACCTCAGATATCCACATATTTCATTACTCTTTCATCTCTTAAAAATCATTGCAAAATGTCACTACTTCAATAAGCTCTCTCTCTCTCTCTCTCTCTCTCTCTCTCTCTCTCTCTCTCCTCTCCTCTCCTCTCCTCTCCTCTCCTCTCCTTTCCTGGAGATTGAATGCCAACCCCTGCCCCCATTTTTTAAAGTTTTGAGACAGGATCTTACTGAGTCCCTCCGAAGTTGCTCAGGCTGGGGTTGAAATTATGATCCTCCTGCCTCAGACTCTCAGAGTACTGGGATTGCTGGGTATGCCACCACAGCCTACTTATTTATTCTATTTAAAATTTCATTCCTAAACAGAAAGAAAGAAAGAAAGAAAGAAAGAAAGAAAGAAAGAAATTCTTTGCATCATGGCTGCACCCCTTACCTTCTCCATTTGCTATTCACTTATCACTTTCTAAGGAGATGATTGATTGATTGATTGATTGATTGGGCTATTATTTCTCCTCACTGGAGCATCAGTTCTACTAGGAAAAGGATCTTGGCTTGAGCAGTTTCCTAAATATCTTAAGTGCCTGGCACATAGTAGAGTTCCATAAATACTCAAATTTCAGGATGTGGCCAGCTCACCTCTTGAGGTTCTTTGTGGAAGTTGGAGTGAAGCAATTTCTGTAAGGGAGTGGAGGGGATCTGAATTAAAGGATGTCTCCTCAATGTGCTTCTCAGATAGGCTCCTTGGGGAAGTCACTGGGGTAACTGTAGCCTGCAAGCAGTTGCAATGTTCTACTTACCATTTTCTTGGACACACGCATCATCTGAGCTTCTGATAGAGCCCTTAGACAGTTTACCATGATCTTTGTGTCATTGTGGCTGCAGCCAGCCAGGAAAGCAACCTTCTGTAGAGAGAGAGGTGTTCAGGGTGTGCCCATCTTGTCCCCTCTTACTCAGTCCTGAGAGAGGAGAGATACTCACCTGGGCTAACTTCAATGGGTCATGAGTGATGAAGCCCTTAAACACTGCAGTGCCACTCTGGGAAATGGCCTTATGGAAGAGACCCTGGGCTAGGGGTGACACCATCTGTAGGGGTGGGGAGTAAGGTACCCATGAGATGCATAAGTACGACTATTCCCACCACCTGCACTGTCTCAGTTTGGTCCAAGTGGCCACCTGACTCAGCCTCTCAGAGTGCTGGGATCCCAGGCATGTAGCACCATGCTCTTTTCTGTCTCTATTTTTTTTTTTCGGGGGTGCAGGGTTCTGCTTGTATTTTGAAGCCAGTTGCCATTACATCCTCTGGGATAAACCTTGCTTTCCTGGTGCTACTATTATCTCACTTGGTCTTCAAATCTATGTTTCAGCTTCTTTCCAACTTGATCCCATGCAGCAGGCTGAGCTACCTCTCTAAATACACATCTGATTATATCACTTTCTTATGTAAAAGTTGCCTCTGCCCTCTAGTGCACTTTGGATAAAGTTGCTCAAATTCTGTGGACTGTTTCTTCACCTGTACAATGGGAACAACAATACTTTTTTTGTGGGACTGTTGAGACAATCAAAAGAAGGAATAGGGGCTGGAGAGATGGCTCAGTGGTCTAAAGCACCTACTTGAAACAAGCTTGGCAAAGCACAAGGACCACGGTTCAATCCTCCAGCACCACATGCCAGCCAGCCCCGCCCCCTGGTGGGCTGAGCTGGCCACACACACACACACAATAAATAAATGTAATAAATAAAAAGAATAAAAAAAAAAAAAAAAAAAGAAGGAATAGACTTAAAGTGCATAGAAGAATGCCTGGCACCCCAGAAATGTATGTGTTGGAATATTATTACGTGGCCTGCAAGGCCATGAATAACATGTTTCCTCTTTACTTCTCAATCCTCTGTCCTACACAGGGGACCTTTGAAACTACACTCCACATATACCCCATGTAAGCCATCCTCCAAGAGTATCAAGGCCAAAGCCGGGTTTCCAACACTGGGCCCTAACTCCCAGCCTTGGTCAGTGTGGGGACAGAACTCTAGGGGGAGAGTTGGGGAGGCAAGAGGTGCTGGGTGCCCACAGGGAATTTATTGAATATCTCAAGTGTCTATGTTCCTGTGCACCCCAATCTGCTCATATGACTTCAGTGGAGAGGATACCATTGTGGGAACCCGCAGGCCTGTGTGTGATAGTCCATCAGAGCCTTACACTCACCAGCCCTGAGATGCACATAGCCCCTGCAGATTGGCCAAACAGGGTCACGCTCTTCGGGTCTCCTCCAAAGACCTCGATATTTTCTTGTACCCAATGCAGAGCTGCCAGTTGGTCTAGTAGCGCCCAGTTCCCGCGAGCCTCGCTGTCGCCAGTGCTGGGTGCGCAGGATTGTGTCCGGGTGCAGAAGGCTCCTCATCCACCCTGATTCCCTTACTATGACCTTCTGAGACTTAGCCCAGCAATTTCACCTTCTTTAGAGTTAGGCCCAACCCACATAAGAAAGAATCCAGCACCACCCTCTCCCAGCCTGGCCACCTCTTTCTGGGTGTCCCGTACCTGGGTCATGCCTCTCCTCCCCTGCCACCACCAGTCCCATCCCCCCCAGTCCCCACCTCAGGAAGCCCAGAATGCCAAGCCGGTACTGCAGAAACACCAGCACCACTTTTTCGCGCGCAGCAAGCTCGGAGCCTTCATAGGTAGAAGCGGCGCCCACGAGGAAGGCGCCTCCCGGGAACCAGACCATCACCTGGGGGAGGAAGGGCCAGGCCTGAGCCGGGTGCAGTAAGACGTTGCGGAGTGCGGGGCCGAGTACTCACAGGCAACAGAGGATCCCCAGGCGCGCGCACCGGCGCGTACACGTTCAGGTACAGGCAGTCCTCGCTGAAGCGCAGCCAGCTGTACTGTTTCCGCATGTTGAAGTACATGGACGTTATCTGCCCCCAGGACTCCTGAAGGCACCTGTGGGCACAATATGACTTTGCACTGGCTCAGCGACGGCATTGGGGAGAATAGTTTCCGTCTAGAGTCCGCAGGAGGGGACAGAACCACGAATAAAATCCAGGCAGCCTTCCTCCTTCCCCATCTCCAGAGGCCTCCACTAGTTTTGTGTTGCAGGATGGGGAGATAGGTGGGCCTCCCTAGGACCCACCTATCTCCCCATCCTGCACCACCCCATCCAGAGTCCTACGGCTGCTTGCTTGTTGCCTCCAAGCGCTCTGTATCTCTGCTGTCTTTGCCAAATGTGTTCTGCCCAGCAAACTCCTATTCTTTTTTTTTTTTTTTTTTTTTGTGGTACCAGGGATTGAACTCAAGACAGTGTGCTTGCAAGGCAAGCACTTATTTTATTCCACTGAGCTAACTCCCCAGACCCTCTTATTCATGCTTGAGGCCAGCTGGGGTTGTGCTGCTGTGCTGGACACCCCCCCCCCATTTTATGTCCCCCAAGGCTCTGTCCACTCTTGACCATAGTCCTTCTAAGAGCCCTTTCAGTTGGTTATTTTCCTCAAGTGGCCAAGCACATCTACGAGTAGGGATGGAGATGGATTCCTTTGAGGCCTGGCACCTAGCCCAGTGCCCTGTACTGTATAGGCATTTAGGGTACCTGTGGAGTATGGGCTGCAGCTGCCTCATCCTTCCCCCTGCTGACTTAGCCCCTAAGGTGGCTATTATAAGGTTGGGGCTGGACCTGTTTGGCTGGGTGCAGGAAACCTGTCTGCCTGTTCCTGCTCTTCCTTTTCCTGGCCCCACCCCTAGAACATTGCAGTTCTTTTCTCTCCCAACAGCACTGCAAACCTGCCTTATCCAAGGCTCTCCTTTTTCATTCACCTTCCCCAGTAGTTGTCCTTCTCTTCTCCAGGCCAAACTTTTAGCTGGTACCCTCCCCCTGACTCCGGACCAGGTCAAGGTCCCCAGCAGGCAGTGTATCTCTATTTCTATGCATTGTTTTTGGTCTTTCTTGCTTCCCCATTTGTCAACAGCTTATGTTATTCTTAAGGTGCTGTCTGATACACCACATCTGGCCTCTTAATAGGAAAACCAGAGTTCTTATGGCCAAGAGTGAGCAGTTGAAGCAGAGGACTGGGGGAAAGAAGGGTGGAGAGGGGATGAAAAAAAAAGTTAAGATGTGCTATGTACATGTTTTAACTCCTCACCATGAATTATGTACTGCAAACATGTACTAATACAAATAAAAATTAATTAAAAAATACAGTTGAGCATTCTCTTCCCACCACAAAAGCCACTCTTGTCATGGGCAGTAGTGATCTCCATCCCTGCTGCTGTCTCACTTAACCCTGGCAGCCGTCAATGTAATTGACCATTCTCCTTTCTTTTTCATTTGAGTCAGGGTCTCACTATGTAGTTTAGGATGCTCTGAACTCACAGCGATCCTCCTGCCTCACCCTTACAAGTGCTGGGATTGCAGGTAAGGGCCACCACACTGGCCTTCCTCCCTTCTTGAACTTTTCTAGCTTTTTGTATCTCCCCCACACTGCCCTGATTTTCCTACCACCTCCTTTGTAGCATTCCACCTAAGCGCGACACTGCCTCAGCTTCCCTCAAGCCTCAGTACTATTTTCTCTCTTATCATTTTTTTGTAAATTGTTTTCCTCCAAGTCCCAGGCTTTACCCCATTAACAAGCCCTTGTCATTTTCATGCAGATGGCAAGTTTACCTCTGGCCCTTATCTCCAGCCACCTACTCCACATCTACTCAAGGATGTCTACCAGCTCATCAATCCTGACATTCCCCAAGTGAACTCTCATTTTGCCCACACTTGCTTTTGCCCCCCTCTTCCTCATTTTGGAAATGGTACTCTAGCCTCTTGACAGCTGTGGCCAAAAGCTAGTCTTTATGCATGGTTTTCTTCCTCTGTGGCTCACTCCAATTCTAGGGTAAATCTCATTAATTTTACTTTTAAATAAATCTGGAATCTGACTACTTCCTGCTACCTTCCCTGTAATTATGCTAGTGGAAGCCACCATCTCTACAGCAGCCTCTTGTCTCCCTGGTCTCTCTAGTCACCTTCTCATATAGGCTGTCCTAAACAACCCATAAATGTTTATACCTGACACTGTGTTTCAAATAGCCCTTATTATGTCAGTGTATGGCCTGTGTTTGGATAATGGCCATGCACACTTGTAGGCAAAGGACATTAGATCCTCAGGGTTCTAACACTAGTCATTTCATGTTTTGTCACCTGATAATAGGAGTTCCAAGTAGTAATCACAGAATGTTGTAAGTAGCCAGGTATGGTGGTGCATGCCTGCAATCCCAGCCCTTGGGAGGCTGAGGCAGGACTGCTGTGAGTTGAAGGCCAGCCTGAACTACATAGTTTAAGGCCATTCTGAACTATAAAATAGGACCCTGTCTCAAAAATCAACCAACCAACCAACCAATCAGATATACAAGCAAATAAACAAACAAAAAGAATGCTTTAAATAGCTGTCACAGAATGCCTGAGGTACACTCCATGACAACCAGTGTTCTAACAATTAATATCCTGGTATTCTAGTAATGATCATACTCTATTTTTTTTTGAGCCCAGGTTCTCTGTGCATCCTAGACAAATGCTGTACCACCGTATTACTTCCCCAGTCGTCATACTCTAACAAGGAAGACTTAACTACCCACCCAGGTAGGAGTTGCAGTACTTTCTCTCCCGTCAGTGGATGTATTCATTGCAGAGAGTTCCCTTAAGAATTGGGAGTTGTAGGTAGGATTTTTTTTTTTTAATGACAGCTGACATTGTAACTGAAGATTTTTATAATAGACATTTTTCTAAACTAGTTGATGCTGAACATTGTTAATGATTGCCACAGAATGTTCTGGGTAGTAGATTACTCAATGATCTGAATAAGCAGTAAATACATTTGTTCTGGGTAACTTGCCAAGCTCAGTGTTTCAAAGGAAGGTCATTGCCTCAATCTTCCTGTGTGACTTAGGGAGTGCAGCCTGGTTGGAGATGGCAGCAAGACCCTGGGACTTGAAAACTGAAACTGAGCCTGTATGTTCCTATCTTGGCACTTCCTCTGAGGGAAGGGCTGGCAGTGCCATGTGGATTTGTTTCTGGGCTCACGCCCCAAGGGAGAACTCTGGGCTTGCTTAGGGACCTGGGGGGGGGGGAGTGATGGGAGGAGTGAATCCTGCCTCTCTGCTGTGTTTAGGAAACTCAGTGCCCCGGAAGATCCCAGGGAACAATTAGTGACCACCTCGCCTTAGCTGGAGCTCTCCTGTATGGAAACTGAGGCCCCAAAGGCCCCAGGCCAGCCTGTGTTCATGCAGTATGTTTATCTTAGTGAGCTGTACAAAGCCCCGTCTGGAGGCCCCATGTCCTAGAGTCTGCCCATCTCCCAATCTATTGGCTCTTACGCAGGGGGGTAGGTGGTGACACGTCTGACTCCTTTCCAAGGCTCTGGGGGCTTAGGCGGAGCAAATCTGAGGGCACCCACAGGAGGTTTGGAGAAGGGGATTCCTAGGAAGACATGGAGGGGTATTTTCCCCACGTGCACCTGCTTTCCTTGGAGGGTCCCATATTTAGTGACCACCAGAGGCTCCTGGCCACGCACAGCACCTGGAAGAGAAGGAAGAGAAGGAAAGAACATCGTTCTGTTTATTTTTATTTTTTGGTGGTACTGGGGTTTGAACTCAGGGTCTTGCTGTTGCCAGGCAAGCACCTATTCTACTGAGCTATCTCCCTGGCCCAAGAGCATCATTCTGGTTCAACTGCTCTGAGCCACAGATAAGACTTTGGCCCAACTGCCACAGGAACCACTGTTACTTTTCATAACAATCAAAAAACTAGGGCCAGGGAGATGGCTCACTAGAATTAGTGCTTGCCTGACAAGTGCAAGGACCTGAGTTCAATCCCCAGTTCTGCCAAAAAATAAAAAATAAAACAATCCAAAAGCTTTCAGATGTGGTGGTGTACACCTGTAATCCCTATACTCAAGAGGCTGTGGCAGGAAGATTACTGAGTTTGAGGCCATCCTGGACTGGACTACATAGGAAGAACATGTCTCGAAAAACAAAACAAAACAAAACAAACAAAACACTGGGAATGTAGCTCAATGAAAAGTCCCTGGGTTCATCCTCACTGTGTAAAACAAATAATTAGTTAAAAGTACATGTCTATTATATGAACTGTTTCTGACATTTAATGTCAATAAATATGTCATTTATCTTGACTTTGATATTAGTATGGCTATATTTCTTTTCTTGTTTCTTCTTCTTTTCCTTCCTATTGGCACTGGGGCTTGAATCCAGGCCACTCACACTGAGCAACATCCCAAGCCTTTTTTTAATTTTTAAGTTTTGAGACAGAGTCTCAGTAAGTTCTTAAATTGCCCAGGCTGGACTCAATATTTGGCAGTCCTCCCGCCTCGGCATTCCATAATGCTTATAACTGCTGGGGTTATAAGCATTCACCACCACTTCAGCTTTTTCTATGGTTTGTTTTTGGTTTTTTAAAGATGAATCTTACTATATAGTGTAGGTTAGCCTTGAAATTGCAATCCTTTTGCTTCAGCCTCCTGAATAACTGGGATTACAGACATGGGCTACCATGTCTGGCTTCTTTCCTCCTTTTCTTATTCTCCTTCCTCTTCTCCTTTCCCCTTCGCCTCTTTCTCTTCTTCTTTTTTGAATTCTTTTATGAAATAAAGTCTCACTATATAGCCCAGGCTGGCTTCAAACTTGTGGCTATCCACCTGCCTCAGCTTCCCCAGGGCAGGCATAGCAGGCCTGCACCACCTTGCCTGGCCTGACTATACTTCTTGTTACAAACATATGCCTGGTTTATTTCTTTTTTTTTTTTTTTTTTTTTTTTTTTTTTTTTAAGTTCTTAAGTGAGAACTCAACCACATGTTTATTCTCAAAATACTAATCGGGGAAGTTAATATAAAAAGTTCATTTCATTTATAAGATATGTTAAAAAATAAGCTAGTTCTCTAATCACTAGGATAGAATCCATTTGTCAATTCATATATAGAATCATCACAAGGTTTAATTGTAAAAAGTAAAATATATATAAAAGCAAAGTAGCAGTCATATCTTTAAGATTCCAAACTAAAAACATATGCATACAGTACATTCTAAAGGTACACACAGAGGGAAAAAGTTCTCAGGTACAAAGAAAGCATCACCAAAAGTCCAAGACTACCTAAAGTTCTCCAGATGAGAGTTCTTTTAGTTAGGGCAGCTTTAATTACCTTCAGATAAAAAGCATTTTCATGTACAAGTAAAAGACACTATAGAATTTGGAGCATTTTCTGAAGTACAGTTAAATTCAGATCAGAGAAGCTACAATGGGAATTCCAAAATTGTAAACCCTTCACTTAAAATTATTTAAACCAGTGTGAATATTAAAATATTTAAAAATACTGTGGCATTGTGCAGTAGCCAGCTAGGAGGCTGAAGCGAGAGGTTCTCAAGTTCAAATTCTGGTCAACTTAGCAAGGTATTATTTCAAAATAAAATGTTAAAGGTAGGCAATGTAGCTCAGTGTTCCCTGGATGAAATCCTCAATACAGCACCCCTGAAAGTGTGAACAGAACAGAACCACTACGACATAAAAAGTAAATGAGAACTGTAAAACTTTAGCTCTGTTATCATACTAAGCTTTGCACAGCGGCAGTATCATAGCCAATGAGGCATAGCTAAGCCATAATTATTGCTAATAGAATACTAAAAACTCAGGATTATCCCTGGAAAAGATTTTTAAAATATTAAAAAGTAAATTATTTGGACTAATAAATAAAACAAGTCCCATAAACTGTTCAAAATTTAGATTTAACCCTTCCAACTTAACAAGTCAGTGATGAATAGGGGACCCTGTGACATTTCTCTACAAGTTAGGTAAATAAGGGCCTGTGAGATATAGCTCAGTGGACTAAGTATCTGCTTAAACAAGTGCAGGGACTGGGTTCAAGTCCCAGCACCACTGCACCAGCCCCACCCTCAGGCATGCTGACCAAGGAGACGGGGCATGGTGGTGCATGCCTGTAATCCCAGCACTGGGAAGCTGAAAACAAGAGCATCACTAGGAGTTGGAGATGCCTAGTGAGACCTTATACCAAATACATAAATTATGCCTGGTTTATTTCTGGGAAGGAGTCACATATACATATACAATCTCTCTCTCTCTCTCTCTCTCTCTCTCTCTCTCTCTCTCTCTCTCTCTCTCTCTTTTTGAGGCAGGATCTCAGTATTTTTTTTCCAGACAGAATCTTCAGGCTGGCCTCAAGCTCATGGTGAGCCTCCACCCTTAGCCTCTCGAGTGCTGGGATTATAGGTGTGCTTCAACCACACCTGGTTATATTCTTACTTATATACACACTTGTATATATTTACTTATATGTGCAAATTTGTCATATTTGTACACAAGAAGTACACGGACACAGCTCATTTACAAAGAAGCACATACAGCTGAGCATGCTGACACTGGCCTATAATCCTCAAGTTCTGGGAAGCTGAGGCAGGTAGATTGCAATTTTGAGTTCTTCCTGGGCAATTTAGCCAGACCCCATCTCAAAATAAAAAAAGGGCTTGGTTTCTGCTCATTGCTAAGACCCTGGGTTCAGTGCCCCCCCCACACCACACACACACAAAAATAAAAAAAAAGGAAGACAAGTGTTGTGGTGCACACCTGTGATCCCAGCACTCAAAGGTGGGAGGCTGAGGCAGGACTAGTGAGAGTTTTGAGGCCAGCCTGGGCTACATAGTGAGTTCAAAACCAGCCTTAAACTACATAATAAGATCCTGTCTTAAAGCAGCAACAAAACAAAACAAAACAACCCCCCTAAACAAACAAAGAATAGAAAGAAAGATACAGAAATAGAGGTGTCAAATACATGTACAGATAGATGCACACATACATATATATATACAAGTTATATAATATATATCCATATATATCCATATATGGATATATAATATACATATATGGATATATGGATATATGGATATATGGATATATATATATATATATATATATATCCCACAGAATCTATTCACATATTCCACACACAGTAAAAGCAGGTCTGGAAATAGATGAGATAGGCCAAGTTGAGAGAATCAGGCATGTTGGAACACTTGGAAGACTGAGGTATGAGGGACAGTGAGTTCAAAACCAGCCTGGACTACACAGCCAGACTGTCTAAAACAAAAAACAAAAACCAACCACTTTGAATTCAGCCATGTGCCTATCAGTACTTGCTTCCTTCTAAGTGGTCATCTTGCCCTACTCTGACTGGCAAGGGCTAGTGAGACTCATGTCCTTGATCCTGAAGAACCCTCGCCTATTTTAACTGTTCCTTCTCAAAACAGAGCTGTTCTGTCTGTGCATTTGTCTCTCAGAGCTCACGGTGCAAAGTGACAAGGATCAAGTGGGATCCAAGTAGCTACTGTGCCCGGCTGTGCACCAGAATCCTCTGGGGATCACTGTGAAAATGCAGATTCTGAGGCCCTTCCCTACCCTCCCCTGAATGAGAATTTCAGAATTGTATCAAGAAATTAGATTTGCAAAGCTCTCCAGGAGATTTTGTTGCAGCTGCTTTTGGAAACAGCATTTGGAATTGGTGTAATAGAGCACACTCTTACACTCCCAGTTGCAGGTGGCCCCAAATACTGCCCACACCCCGAGGTCTTCCCAGGTCTTACATAAGCCACACTTGTTACACCTGACTATAACAGTGACGCTTGGGTACAGAGGCAGGTCAGCAGGGCAAGGGGCCTTCTCAAATGTCCTTTGTGTGTGAAACCCTTGCATTGGCCCTGGGAGGAACAGGGGCAGGCCCAAGGTCTCTCAGCAGAAGGCCATTGACCAGCCTGTGGTCACTTCCAACAGCTATCATTTCTGGACCTTTTGTTATAGCCAAGCACTGTATTATCTTGCCCTATTTTCCCTAAAACTGGATAGGGCAGATAGTACAACACAGATATGGAAATGGGAGCTCAAGTGGGCAGGTCATTTGGTGATATCCCACATCAGAGCACTGCCCTAAACCATGGGTGTTTGTCTGTCTAACCACCAGCTTCAGGTGTGTGTGTGTGTGTGTGTGTGTGTGTGTGTGTGTGTGAATAATGTGGCAAAGTGCACTCTTTTCCCAAACAAGTACTGCTGTGGCATGGCTCTGATCCCAGCTGACTATGCAGAGATGACTTATAAAAAAACATATTGGGACTGGGGAGAGAGCTCAGTGGAATAAGTGCTTTCCTGGAAAGTGCAAGGTCCTGAATTCAATCTCTGGTATAACCAAAAAACAAAAACAAAACAAAACAATCAAATAGAAAAACCACAAACATACAAAAACTACTTATTAGTAGTCACAAAGTGTTGCATAAAAGCTGGAGTTAAAATAATTAAGATATGTTATTGGTTGGGAATGGTGGCTTATGCTTATAATCTCAGTCCTCAGGAGGCAGAGGCAGGAAGATGGCTAAGAGTTCCAGGACAGCTTGGACTACATAATGAGACCTGGTCTCAAAAAACAAAAACAAAAGAAAAAGAACAATAATAAAAAACCAAAAACTAGTGTTTTAAAAAAGATATAGCCACGGATTAAAATTAGACCCATATCTTTTCCAGTGCACTGAACCAAAATTGAAATGGATCCAAGATTAAATTTTAAAAGAGAAACATTAAATCTGCTGGAAGATAGAATACATAGGATTCCTGAAGACATTGGTATAAGCAAAGAATTTATGAACAAAATCCCAATTGCACAGGATCTGTCACAAAGAATCAACATTATAAAGAGATCTTATTACAAACCTTTTTCCCAGCAAGAGAAACCACCAACAGAGTGACAGAGATCACCCAGTGTGGAAAAAAGTTGTTGCATGCTGTTCCTTAGACAAAGGACTGCTATCTAGAACATATAATGAACTCAAAAGACATCAGACTCTGCGGATTTAAAGACCCAATTAAAAAGAAATACTTCATACTCAAGTGAAGAAGTACAAACAACAAATAAATATACAAAGAAATGTTCAACAGCACTGGTCACTTGAGAGACACAAATGAAAACAACTCTGAGATTCCATCTCACCCCAGAAAGAATGGCTGTTATCAAGAAATCAACCAATAACAAATGCTGGCAGGGCTGTGAGGAAAAAGGAACCTTTCTCCATAGTTGGCAGGAGTGTAGACTGGTGCAACCTCTGTGAAAATCAGTGTGGAGATTCCTCAAAAAACTAGGACTAAAGGTCTCATTTGACCCAGCTATTCCCCTTCTTGGTCTCTTCCTGAAGGAATTAGAAGCGTCCCACCACAGTGATATAGGCACAGCCATGGTTATGGTGGCACAGTTTGTAATAGCCAAATTCTTGGCAACAGCCCAAATGCCCATCAACTGGCACATGGATAAAGATGTGTGTGTTTTAATACAATGGAGTACTACTCTGCCACAAAGAAGGGTAAGTGTGAGACATTTCTGGGTAAATGGATGCACCTTGAGTCTATACGCTTAAGTGAAATCAATTGGATACACATGTGTACACACTGCCTTGTTTCTCTGATGTGAGGAACTGAAAGTGTAGATGAGGATCAAAATGTATAATAGTTATTGTGAATTGGGAAGAAAATGTTCAAATGGGGAAGGGGATAAGGAAAGGGAAGGGGAAGGAAAAACAGGGAAAGTAAAAATAATGAGAAAAGAAGAAAAAAATGGAAATAGAGCTGTTGTAAATGGGGAGGGGAGAAAGGGCTAAAGGGAGGGAGGGGAATAGGGAAGAAAAAGAAACAAGTTATATCACATACAGGTAAAGATACTCTATGGTGGATACGATCATTAAATATACCTAAAATGTACCAATAAAAATCTGATTAGAAATAAAAAATAAAATATTTGAGAGTGAGAAACAAGACGTGCACTTGTACCAAGGCCCATGATCTATATAATCAGTATGTACCTCACATGTGTACTAAGATCAGGAGGTGCACACCTGTGATGCCAGCGCTCGAGAGGTGGAGGGAGGAGGCGCCTCATAAGTTTGAGGCCAGTGTGGGCTACATAAGTAAGTTCAAAACCAGCCTGCACTGCCCAATGAGACCCTGCCTCAAAAACAAAACAAAACACCCACCAAAAAAGCAAATAAGTACTAAGAAAAAAAAATGCTAGAGTTATAGCTGCTACCTGAGAAACTAAAAAATGATATCATGCAATTCCAGCAAAGATACACTGAAAAGGACATTTGCATATACTGTTGGTGGAGAATAAGCTCCTACACCAGCATGGGAAAATAATTTGGACAAATGTACAAAGAGCTATGAAATCTTCACGTGCTTTGAGTGAGTAATTCCATTTCTCAGTCTCTTCCTGACGTCAGACTCACTAGGGCAAAGACTGAACCCCAGTGGATGCTGAAGACATCATATTTATTTAAGGACTAAAGTAAATAAATACAGTTAATATAACTTTAACCTGCCACCAGTAAGATTTTAAGTAAATAAAAGAGCAGAATGTAAAATTATATACACCTAACACAGATACATCTATCTATCTATCTATCTATCTATCTATCTATCAAAAAGACTAAAGAAGATGCACCAACAATGCTAAAAGTAGTTCTAGCAAAGTTCCCCTCAAATTAAAAAATAATTTATAATAGAAATTGTCAGAGTGGTCACTTGGAAGGTATTGAGTAGGAAGGGGTACATTGCATGCAGAGAATATTCTAGATCTTTTTTTTTTTTTTTTTTTTTTGCGGAACTGGGGATTGAACTCAGGCCCTTGCGCTTGCCATGGAAGCACTTATTCTACTGAGCCATCTCCCCGGCCCCATCTAGATCTTAATGGTGGTTATACTGAGTACATATAATATATTTTGTGTGTATGTATAATATATAACTGTACAATTAAGAGATGTACTTTTTGTTGTATAATTTTTTTTTTTTTGCGGTACTGGGAATCAAACTCAGGACCTTGTGCTTGCCAGGCAGGTGTTTATGCCGCTGAGTTGTATTCCGCAGCCCTTGTTGTATAATCTTATACCTCAATAAATTTTTGTTAATGCGTTTTGTGGTTTTCATACTCCAATGTACAATACTACTACTAATAATAAAAGACACTTGGGCTTTCTCTTATGGTCTCTTTGGTTTGGGTGGCACAAGCAAGATGACAAAGGGAACATCATCCTTTGGAAACCATCGCAGTAAGACGCACACCTTATGCTGTGGCTTTAAGTCCTACAACCTTCAGAAGTCGACTTGTGGCAAGTGTGGCTATCCCGCCAAGCGCAAGAGAAAGTATAACTGGAGTGCAAAGGCTAAAAGGCGAAATACCACCAAAACTGGTCAAATGAGGCACCAAAAATTGTATATCGCAGATTCAGGCATAGAATCCGTGAAGGAATGACACCTAAACCCAAGAGAGCAGCAGCTGCAGTGTCCAGTTCATCTTGAGAACTGCAGCAATTATTCAAAAGAAATGCTTGGTTTTAAGAGATTAAAAAAAAAAAAAGACACTTGGGAGAAGTGCATAGGTAGTAAAGAGATTCATGTAGGAGAGAGGGAGACAGAAACAGGACTCCTGCAAAGGAGAAGGAAGGAGCGACAAAGATTGCCATGTTCTTGGGTCTCCTTATTGGCTCTAAGAATCAGAAGGACCCCCCCTCCCCCAACTTTACAGAGCAGCCTCAGGGCTCAGAGAAGCAAAAGGCCTCTTTTAGATTTCTAGCTTATGGGTGGGTTAGTGCCCTGAACCAACACTCTACGTCTGCTCAGGCCTTCTCCAAGTGCCCCTTCCCTGCTCTCCCAGGATAGGCCAAGCTGGGTCTGATCCACTCTAGAATAGTTGAAGGTCTTACCTAAGGCTGTATGTACCACCAAAGAGAGGGCAAGACTCCAGATCAGAATCCACCTCATGCTGAGGTCAGCTCCTGCCACATGCCACAGTGAAGGTAGCTGTGAATGCCACTTTTATCTTCCCATCATCCCTATCAGCAGGTAATGCTTCTGACCAGCCCACACGCTTGTCTTTGGCTTTTGACAGCAGGTCACCATCGATGCAATCCCTGCCCACTTCAGTTGTGTGTGGGCAATGGCTTAAAGCGAGGCAGGTGTGAGTCAAGCTCTGAGCGTATGGTCATGCCAAGTTCTGAGCCAAACTCTGAGTCACTTAGCCCCTCAGCTCCCAGGCTTCCTCTCTGGATTTAGGGACCTTGGGCTACCCTGCTCCCCTCTGCTTTGCCCAGACCCTTCTGCAGTCTTTCTCCTCTTCTGGCTTTGAGCCAGGATCACTGTGGAGTCAGAGGCCCCATGCCTTGGATAGGACATTAGTGTGAGGGTCAGGGCCTGTGGGTTTCTAGTCTGACTTGGGGAGCCACCCTGGAGGCAACTGTGAGAGGCCTGGAGGGGCACCTAGTGAGTCCAGGGCCAGGTGATGGGAAGGAAACATCTCTGTACTAATGCTCCAAGTAAAGGATGAGGAGGAGTCAGCCAGGCAAAGGAGTCATCCAGACGAAGATCTTGCTTGGGATTTGGAGCCTTGGAGCATGGGGGATGCAGGGGAAACAAATCTAAGAAAATCCAATTTATGGACATGGTTCTCAGGTCATTTTCTAGAAAATCCTTGTATGCTGATTTGGGTTGGAGACTTCAAGTTTACTGTGTCCTGGGGCCTGAGGGTGGCATATTGTTTCCCCTCCCTGATGAATCCTTGCTGTTGGCAAGGTAGATAGATGCCTTCACCTGATGGCAGGCATGCAGATGTCTCCTAAGATCAATGCCTACATCCCTTGCCCAAGAAATTTGTTCTGAGAGACTTTCCAAAACACATAAAAAATTGTTTACATGATAAATGCCATTTAATACCTTGCTTTGCTTCACTCCAAAACACCTGGAGGGAATAGGGGAAGAAGGGATGTTGTAGTCACAGGATGTAATAAGCTGCAGAGTGACATTGTCACAGCTTCTGCAGTGGCAGCTGGTTAGTGTGGTGGTGTTTCTGAGCCAGGCTGCCAGAATCTGAATCCCAGCACTGTCCTGCACTATTTGTGAGACCCTGGGCAAATCATTTGACTTTTGCCAGTCTCAGTTTTATCACTGGCAATTTAGCAGAAGAACAGAACAGATCCCTTATGATTGTAGTGAGGGTTAAGTGAGATAATGAAAGTGAAACAGGCCAGGCATAATGGCACACCTGTAATCTCAGTATTCTGGGAAGCTGAGGCAGGATGGTTGCCAAATTTGAGCCCAGCCTGGGCAATTCATTTTTTTTCATTTTTTACAAAAATTTTTAAAGAGAGTACAAATTAGAATTGGGCTGGGGAGATGGCTCAGTGGAATAAGTGCTTCCCTGGCAAGCGCAAGGGCCTGAGTTCAATCCCCGGTTCCTCAAAAAAAAAAAAAAAAACCAAAAAACAAAAAACAAAAACAAAAAAAAACAATTAGAATTAAAATGGAAAAAATCACAAGTGATACAGATTTTCACTTAACAAAGTAATATGAATTTCACAGTATTTGTTGTAATACATAGTGGTGTCTTCCAACCAGTTATTCATATTACCAGATATATGCATGTAAAATTGGAAGAAGAAAGAAAAAAATAAGGAAATGTATAAGAAGTGAAGAAGACAAAAAGGATGACCAATTGAAAAAAGGAGACAAAACAAATGAAAGCATTAACTGCTTCTTTCTATAGACCATCAGAAATGCACAGTACAGTTGTCCAAACCATCCTGCTTATGTACATAGATAAGTCTCTTTCCACCACTCCCTCTCTTGTCCTTCTCCTCAACTCAGTAACTCTTTCCTTTTGAATAAGCATATGCCCTTTTACCACTATCTGTTGTACCCTTCAGATTCCATTTTTCTCTTTCAGATTCTCACACTAAGGAGACAATATGATGTTTGCAATGCGGATTGATTTATTTCACTTAAGAGTATGTTCTCTCATTGCATCCATTTACCGACAAAAGATTCAAATTTATCCTGTTTTATAGCTGAATAATACTCTACTGTGTAAAAATACCACATCTTCCTTATCCATTCTTCAGTTGATGGCATCTGGGTTATTTTCAGGATTTAGCTATAACAAATTGCGCTGCTATAAACTGGTTGCACATATATCACTGTGGTATGAAGTTTTCAGTTCTTCTGGCAACATATAATCTTTTAAGCTTTTTCTTGTACCAGAGATCAAACCCAAGACCTTGCATTTGCCAGGCAGGCACTTCTGCTGCTGAGCTATTTCTCCAATTCTCAGCTTGGGCAATTTAATGATTTAGCAAGGCCCTGTCTCATACAAAAGGTAGGGAGGGAAGCTGGGGATATTCTCAGTGCTAGGGAGCAGAGAGTGCTAGGTTCAATTCCTAGTACCATGGATTGGGGGAAGAATAAAAGGAAGAAAAAGAAAAAGAAATAAAGAGAAAGTAAAGCACTGTGTGGGGTAAAAGGGTCCAGTCCTCTCCAAATCTAAGGATTCTCAAGACTCTTATGTAAAATAGTATAATTTTTCATGTAGAAAAACTTAGTTCTCTTTCCCATCTTGCAAGATGGTGGGTGAAAAAACTGAGAAGCCAAACACTGAAGAGAAGAAACCCGAAGCCCAGAAGGCTTCTGCCAGTGGTACTGGTAAAAAGGGTAAGGTAAAGAAGGCAAAAAAAAAAAAAAAAAAAAAAAGCCAAGAAGGGGCAGCCCCACTGCAGCTGAAATCCTGTCCTTGTTAGAGGAATTGGTAGATACTCCCAATCTGCTATGTATTCCAGAAAGGCTTTGTACAAGAGAAAGTACACAGCTGCTAAGTCAAAGGTTGAGAAGAAAAAAAAGGAGAAAGTTCTTGCTATGATCACAAAACCAGTCGGTGGCGACAAGAATGGAGGCAGCTGGGTGGTTAAGCTTTGAAAAATGCCTAGATACTACCCTACTGAAGATGTGCCCCGAAAGCTCTTGCGCCATGGCAAGAAACCCTTCAGCCAGCATGTGAGGAAACTTCTAGCTAGCATCACTCCTGGCACCATCTTGATCATCCTCACTGGGCGTCACAGAGGCAAGAGAGTGGTCTTCCTGAAGCAGTTGGATAGTGGCTTGCTACTTGTGACTGGGACTCTGAGCCTTAATCGTGTTCCTCTACGAAGAACACACCAGAAATTTGTCATTGCCACCTCTACAAAAATTGACATCAGCAAAGTGAAAATCCCCAAACACCTCACTGATGCTTACTTCAAGAAGAAGCAGCTGCGGAAGCCCAGACACCAGGAGGGCGAGATCTTCAACACCGAGCAAGAGAGATACCAGATTTCAGAGCAGTGCAAGGTCAATCAGAAAGTGGTGGACTCACAGATTTGAGCAAAAATCAAAGCTGTTCCTCAGCTCCGGGGCTACCTGCAATCCTTTTTTTGCCTTGACAAATGTAATTTATCCTCATTAATTAGTGTTCTAAATTTCTTACTAAGAACCTAATTAAATAACTTATACATTTTAGAAAAATAATTTTTCATGTAACCTACACATATCTTTCAATATACTTTTATTTATTTGTCCTCCAATATATGTTAAATCATCCCTAGAGTACTTGTAATTACTAATACATGTAAATAGTTGTTAGGCTATGTTGCTTAGGTAATAACAACATGAAAAAAAGTATGTGTATAGTACAGATGGTTTGTTTGTTTGTACAGAGCAGGTTCTTGATAAAGTCCCTACAGTTCTGAGACTGGGTTTGAATCTTCTATCTTCCAGTTTCTAGTCTTGGTGGTAGGCTTACAGGTGTGCACCAGTACATCCAGCTCAGTTTCTTTCATGAGCATTAGTAGTGGGTTCACAGTCAGTGTGGGATTTTTTTTTTTCCCCCAGGGAGATAGTGTTGAGACAGGATCTAACTGTGTAGTTTAGGCCAGATTTGAACTCCCAATGGCATTCCTGTTTCAGTCTCCCAGGTAATGAGATTATAAGCCCAGCCAACAACACAGGGCTTTCAGTGTTTCAGGGTCTCACTGTATAGTCCAGGCTGGACTTGAACTCACTATGGAGCCCAGGCTGGTCTTGAATTTACAGCAACTCTTCTGCTTCAGCCTCCTGAACACTGGGATTAAAGGGATAAGCCACAATGCCTAGCTCAGTGTGGGATATAAAAAGGTAGCAGTGATGGCATAGGGAAGACAGATCTAGGGAAGTAGGGTCTACCAGCAGCTCTATCTGACCCCTGTGTTGACCACTTTTCTGTCTTCACTGTATTCTTCTGCTGAACTCCTTCTGGGTTGTGGCCACATTGCTAGGAGTATGGAATTCAGGCTGCAGGAGACAAAGGAGTGTCTTCCTTCTCTACCCAGGCTTTTGACCAAGTTAGCACCAAGAACCCTAGAGTATAACTGAAAGCACAGGCCTACCAGGGCAAGGCAGTGGAGCAGGCAGACAACATGAGCCCACCCTCCAACCCTGGAGGCCAGGTACACATAGTTTCCCCTACTCCGATGTGCCATTCCTTGACCAATTCTGTGTGGACCTTATGGGCCAGTCTTGCCAACAGGTGGCCTCTGCCTTTGCCACCTCTTCCCAGAGAAGTACCAACGTTTCACCTGATCCATATGGAAAGCAGTTGTGCCTGGGCAGGCACATCAGTGGAGTATGCAGGTCACATATGGCCCCATCCAGTGTGCACATGGGCCCAGGGGACATAGAATGGGCAGCCAGGTCAGCCAGGTACTCTGGCATATCATTATCTTAGGGGTCAGAAGCAGCTCTCAGGAAGCTGGAAAGATTTCCCCCACATATCTTGCTAGAATTTTCTTAAGAACACCCATATTTTTCTTGGTTGCACAAAGGGAAAACAGGCAGCAAAGTGAAATGGGCTTTGAGTTCTGAGTCTGACAGATGTGTACTCCAAGCTGACTTAGGTGCTCACCGTCTATGCATCACCATGAGTGAAGAGGTGCTGGACACGTTCCTAGGTTCCTGTGTGCTATGTGCCAAAGAATTTGATGTGCCATGTGATGGTAAGGAAAAAGCAACAAAGTTTAATTAGGCCAAATTTAATGCTCCTAGTGAGTGGGTCACACCAGTGGAGAGAACAATGGCATGAGTGGTGAAGGTTGAGAGATTTATGGTGTGCCTGATGACAGTGTCTCTCTCTGGGGCTTCCAGAGCTTGACTGACAGCGTGATTGACAGTGCTGAGCCATGTTACCTGTGTCCACTGCACATATCCTTTCTCATAACTCACTCTGTTATAATTGGATGTATGGGATGCAGTTTATTTGCATGAACCTTCAGTGAGCTCTGAAGCAAGGTTATAGTAGACCATGCTGGAGGATGTGGCATACATGCCTCCTGGTTTTGAATTTTGGAGTTTTCCAGGGCAGGCTCAGGGGTCTTTCTTTTCTTGTCTCTGCCTCTAGGTAGTAACCCTTAGGACAAAGGTCTGAGGTCTGGCCCTGGAGCATTACCCAGGTTTAGGTGAGTGGAGGGGAGTGGCCCCATAACTCTAATTATACCACTTATAGTAACAAAATATAAATTCCTTTTTTCTTTTTTTTTATCAGTTAAGTAAAGGAGCAGAGAGTGCACAAATTTCATGAAGCTACCTTCCTAGTAACCCCCAATAAGATAAAGATCACTAGGATAAATACTAGCAAAAGTATAAATAATGGACTGTTTACTTGTAGGGAATATATATATATATATATATATATATATATATGAGGATAGACATACAACTACTCTCACTTAGTTCATTGAGAAGAAAGGTTTGTACTAATATTGTTTAGACAAAGATATCATGTCTGCATCTTGTCCTCTGAATACCCACTGTGAAGAAATCAATATGTAATGTACTAATTATTGTAACTATCCCACTAACCTGACTTGAAATTATTTAATTGCTATTTTATTTTTCTCTTATTACAAGGAAAGGAACAATAAAAATTAGAAAAACTTTTCAAGTGATAATATTAGGAAATACAAGGAAGCCTTTTTTTTTTTTTTGAGGAAGCCTTTTTAATTGTGCTTTTAAATATGTAGATTTTCTTTCTCTCTTCCTTTTTTTTTTGGCCATGTCAACCAACCATGAGGGCAGCGCTTAGGTAGCATGTGGTGCTGGCGATCAAACCATGGTCCTCTGCACCTGCCTAAGCTTGCCTACATAGGTGCTCTAGACCACTGAGCTATTTCACTGGCCCCAATATGTAGGTTTCCAATAATGTAGTTTACATAAATAGACAGAAGAGTATAAAGTAACAGGGCCGGGGAGACAGTGTGATAAGTGCTTGCCTGGAAAGTGCAAGGTCCTGAGTTTAATCACTGGTACTGAAAAAAAAAAAAACTATAAAGAAACATATCCCTACATTGATTAATCACTTCATAATGTCTAATCTCATAAGCTTCTCATTAAGGTAAAGATTACATACACACTGACATTAGCAATATATATCTGCATATATATATATATATATTTATCTGTTTCATCTGGGTATGTATGTACTTTATAAATGTTCACAATGATTAATGGTAAAGCATAGAAAGCAGTATGACATATACACAGATGAATACATAGACCTATACAGATATATACATGCATTTGGTCAAAATATATCTCACTATGCAATTTGTACATAAATTGCTGATTGACTGTATTGAATGGATGTCTGAAATGGCTGATAGTGATGCCTCTTTAATGTTCCTTAACTCATTAAAACTCTATTGTACAGTATCTTTAAGCGTGGCAGAAATACACATTTGACCAACTAAGTTAAAAGTTTTGCCACATGTATAGTGTAGTAAGCACCTTGCATTAATTACAGTATTAATTTAGTAAAACAAGTAGGAATATAAGACATTTAATGAGAACCTATAGTTCTAATCACTATACTCCAGAAAATATTGGCTAAAATACAATAATATACTTCATTGAAGAGACTTCATCTCAATTATTATTTTGAGGGTCAAACTTATAAAGAATACTAGAACTATTGAATGTCATGGGAATTCCTTACATTAAACTTTTTAAAAAAATTTATTTTTATTATTTGTGTGTGTGTGTATGTGTGTGGCCAGCTCAGTCCACCAGGGGGCGGGGCTGGCTGGCATGTGGTACTGGGGGATTGAACCGTGGTCCTTGTGCTTTGTTAAGCTTGTTCTAAGTAGGTGCTTTAGACCACTGAGCCATCTCACCAGCCCTCCTTACATTAAACTTTGAAAAGTTGTCTTGGAGGCTGGAGCGAGGTCTCCGCGCGTGCGGCGCTCTTCGCGGGTCAGGCCAGCTCTCACCCCAGCCCAGCACCATGTCCCGGAACCTGCGCACCGCGCTTCTTTTCGGCAGTTTCTTCTCCTTGGTCGGCCGCCTTCTACCCCATCTACTTCCGGCCCCTAATGAGGCTGGAGGGGTACCAGAAGGAACAAGCTATAAATCGGGCTGGGATCGTTCAAGAAGATGTGCAGCCACCAGGGTTAAAAGTGTGGTCTGATACATTTGGCAGGAAATAAGAAGGCTGTCACCAGTTCTGATTACAAAAGTAGACATCTTCATGCTTTCGATTCTGCTTCGAGTGCAATAAATCACTTCACTGTGGAAGGGTGGCTGGAGAAGAAAACCCTGTCATGCCATCAATAAGAGTACTTGTCATGAAAGCCTGTGCACCAGGATTAGGATTTCCCTTCTTAAATATCAAAAGAACCCTGGAACACATTACACCATTAGGAAGGCTTGCATGATTTGGTTGACTTTCCAAAAATAAGCTGTTTTGTGGGGCTGTTTGCTGGAGATCTGTTTATTATTCAGTCTTTATCGCCTCCGGAACTGCGGTAGGAATACAAGCAACCCGTGAGCTTGAGGAGGTACACGCCCTCTCTGTCACCTTCCAAATAGGACAGTTCAGGGAAGAGCCACCCTGCTGAGCTGCCTTGAAGGGGTCTTTGAAAATATTCAAGTTGATAAAGTTCTTTGAGGACATGGTACTTGCATTGCTTAAGAATAAACAGTTCAGCTGAACTGTCTACCATTGAAGACTGCTCCATGCTGGAAAATAAACAACTAGAAAGGAGGCCAAACTGCACGGGTACATGGGCATAGTACAAATCAGGGTGAATCAACAGAAGTGGAAACCATGTCTATTAAAATGATTTGTTTTTGTTTTAAAAAAAAAGTTGTCTTGAAGTTATCTGCTAAGATGGTTGTTCACAAATTTTATGGGAAAGTTTTTTTTTTTTTTTTTTTTTTTTTTTTAAATAGCGTGAATCTGGGCTGGAGATATAGCTCAGCGGCTCCAGGGCCTGCATGGCAAGTGCAACACCTGAGTTCGACGCTGGGTACTAACAAACTGCCTACCTAACAGAGTAACTGAAGAACTACCGAATAACTAAATGCAATATCATGAATCCAAAACCTGATCCAATTAAGGAGTCACTTATTCGGTCCTCATACGCAGTCTGGCAGGATTACTGATTCACAGAGGGCTGGCAGTTACCTGGTAATCCTCGTTCTACATTGATCAGAAGAGGACTGACGATTATGAGCAGCAGTGTTGGAAAGTCCCTGGACATTCAAGGTTCTTCCAGAAACATTAGCATCAAAAGGCAATTATACCATCAGCTGTAGAAGGGATTGGCTTTCCTTTTTCATTCTTCCAAAGAAGAAAACAAAGCTGAAAGAACTCATGAAAACCATTCCATTTCTTGAGAGGGTAGCGGGTAAACTTGGTCCATGTTATGAGGTTCAAAAATTATCTTGCAGTTTGGAGCCATCGGAATCCGATAGACATTGGGAAGAGGCAGAGTTTTATTATCATCTCTTTCTCCGGAGCCCTTGTCACTGTCACTGCAACTCCTGAACTTGAGCCAGGAGTCCACGCCGCCGGCTCATCCTCTGGCTCCAGGCAACTCAGGGTGCAGGGTGCCAGCAGTTCCCAAGGAGCGCATCATGTGCCAGGGGGTCAGGGCCCCAAGGCTCCTTTTTTTCTCTTAACTGATTTAAAAGGCAATTTTACAAAGTACAGTATCGTGTTTATAACGTTTATTGGTCTGGCAACAGATAGAAATGCCCTCTATTCACCAATGACAGAACAATGGATATGGGTTTTGTTTATGCTGTCCTTTCTGTGTCAGGGGTGGCGAACCTACAGAGTGTGCTGCAGCCAGCTGTTTGCTATCATTGAAAGCTCTAAAAGATTTGTTATCCCTTCTCTATGCAGAATGCTCTCTGTGCCGTCAAACTAGGGGATTCCTACTATCTTCCCAAATCAGGATTATCTCTTTCCAGGGTACCTTTGTGGATGTACAGTACATCCCTATAGGACAGAGGCAGATCCTGCAGACTCTTGTGTGAGATCAATGCATCCAGCCTTATGATAGTGAGGGGCTCAAGTCCTCTGTGACAGGAGAGACTTGCCCGGGCTAATGAGCAGCAACAGCCTGGAGCCTGGTTGAGTCTTAGTGACTGGTTGCTTGCTAGGAGAAACTGGTTGTTTGCCTGGACCTGGTGTGAAGGGACTCAGACCTGAGCTTGTCCTCTTGGAGTCTCTGATCCAACTGGGAGATAATGGCAGACCCAAGCATTGGCACTTGTCTGCTGGGTCTCTGTACAATGGTAGTGCTGAGAAATCAAGGCATAGTTGAAGGTGTGGGAGGCTGGGAAGGCTAGGAGCCTGGTCACCCTCCCCTGACCCTGTACTATTGTATCTGGTGAGAGCTCTGTGGGCTGTGCTGAGCTCTCCCACAGGTGGGGTTCCCTAGCTAGGAAGAGAAGGAGGAGCCTATTAAGGCTGGGAACTTGAACTCACTATCTCAAGGGCCAGCCCTTTATCTGGTAAAGGCCATGTGAGTGTGGGCCTATAGGATTATGCTCTGTCCAGATATTACCAGATCCTGATTTTGGTGTGAATGATGGAGTGGGGTCAGGTTGATTTATATTTTCTTTTGTGAAGGACAAAGATTCCAACAGAGATGGTGTGAGCCTAGTGTGAATTGTTTTGTAATGGTGACATATTCAGGGACACAGGACACAGGAAAGGTAGAAAAGGTTTCCCAGGAGCGAGCTTGACCAAGAAGCTGGGCCATTCTAGGAAGAAAGGGGACAGGGTACTTCATGGAGAAACAGGAACTTGTGAAAAGGTCTAAAGGTGGGAAGAAGCTTGGTGACATTTCTAAAGAGCACCATGCCAGTCCTGCTGTGGTTGATGCTTGAAGGGATATGAGCCAACATCAGTGAAATTTAGGCTAAAGTCTCAACAAGAGTAAAAGGAGGCCACCTACCCATGACCCTGCCACCTGTTGCATAGGCCCTAGTTAAGGAGATCCAGGCCTTGCCTCAGAGCTCCTCTGGGGCCTTCCTGCTTTGCTTCTGTTGTTGCCACTGCCGGATCTTCCTGGGGAGTGTCTCTGTCCAGAACTGCATCTGGGCTTCCTTCAGCTTCTGTCTGACCCGTGGCACCAGGCTGATCTCCAAATATTGCTCCAACTGGTTGAATTGGGGCCAAAAAGGTAGCCCCTTGCTATTGGGGTCCCTGAGCGGAAAGAATGAATGAGGACCAAGGGCTCCTGTGTTGTCCTGTTGGGGGCAGGTCTGAGTTGTCCCAGGCCCAAACCCAGGCTCCAGGTGCTCTCTCTCTCTCTCTCTCTCTCTCTCTCTCTCTCTCTCTCTCTCTCTCTCTTTCTTTCTCTCTCTCACTCTCTCACCCTGTTCGGGCAAAGCAGGCCCACTGGGCCATCATGGTGAGGCTCAGCTGCTTCTCCTCTTCTGTGGCTTCTGGAAAGGCTGGAGGGAAGGATAGATTTGTGTAAGAAGCAGCTGAACCTGGAAATTGATCAAACGTGTTGGGGCAAGGCAGGTTGGAGAATTAAGAACGCCTGAGGCAAATCCACATGGACAAGCTGTTTCAGTCTAGAGAACACCAAGCCCCAAGATAATCCAAGCAACCTGTTGCTAGGCAAAGTGATATTATCTGGCACCAACTTGTGAAATGTATAAATAAATGCCCTATGGTGGCTGAAGCATCTCCTTTCCTCCCATCCCAGGAGAGAGGGAACTCTACTTGACCATAGCTTTTGTCTCTTATCTTTATTTTTCCCATTCTCTCACAGTCCTTCTGCCCTCTGGAAACTTCAAGGCAATTCTGGATCAAAATCAGGTGGGGCCTGGAGGGGACCCAAGGGCCCCTGGTACTGACTTGAGACTTCTGTTTCTACAAGTCCAGACTGGCCTCTTGGAGCATGGAAGCCTAGGGATTGCACACTTATCCTTACCCAGGAGGGTGTCTTCATCCATGAGGAAAGGACCCCCAAACATGAATGCTTCCTCAGCTGCATGGTCAGCCTTCACCCAGGGTGGCTTGATCTTTGCAAAAGAACTGGGTACATGCTGGAATTCGTACAAAAAAACAGGGAGCCCAGAATCTGCAGAGAGAAGTCAAGATTGGAGTTAGGAATTGACAGCCTGGCCTGGTCCTGAAATCTGGGCTACACTAGCTCGTGGTGACATCAGTCCTACTCCTAATAACAATGACGGCATAATTATTAGCAGTAAGCATTTCTGAGCTCTTGCTAAGTGCTGAGCACCCTCTGGATGTTGAACGTATGACTTTTCATTCAGTCCTCATAAGAACCTTTCCACCTGGGGAGGCAGAAGGGTGTGGTGTTCACGATACTGGGGAAATTTGTACACATGTTGTCTATGATGCCCCAGCTCCTGGGCTCAAGTGGGGATGGGTGGGTCAGGTGACCAGAGAAAGGTTTACCTTGGAGATTTCTTGAGAAATTCAAAGTGGGGATGTTGAAGATGATATCACCAGCCAGTTCTTGGAAAGCTTCACGTCTGGCTTGTGCATCTGAGCCACTGCCTAGATACTGGTCTACAACCATGGACATCATCTCAGGGGGCACATTCTGGGACAAGAAGTCAGGGTTAGGTCTGCTCCAGTCCCTCACAAGAAACTTCCTTCATATCTGTGGGCTTATGCTTCAGGGCTCAGTCACCTGCCTTCTTCCCTGGCAGTTCTAGATGGTGTCTTAGCAGGATAGGCTCAAATTTGGAGTCAAATCCTAGCTTGGATTTGGAGTCAAATCCTCTTCCTTGGAGTCAAATCCTCTTCCTTGGTTGTGTGACTGCAGACATGTGGCTTATGCTCTCTGAATGTCAGTTTCTACCTGAAAGTATTGTTTGGCAGCTTATAGGAAGTCCCTAGCACAGAATATGGCCCAAAAGCAGGTGTTCAGTTATCTTGGAAATAAGTCAGAGAATAATACCAGGTGCTCCCTACAGATTCCAAGAGCAGTGCTGAGGTTATGTGAATGGGTTCTGGAGCTCCTGAGAAAGAAAAATGCACTTATATTGAGCACCTCTAGGGGCACTGCAGTGGTCCCTTTTTTAGGCAGGGTCTCATGATATTCTCCAGGCTGGCCTACAACTTGTGATCCTTCTGCCTCAGCTTCCTGAGTGCTGGGATTGCAGGCATGCATGGCCATACGTGGCTCCTGATAGACTTTTCAAATACAGTATTCTTCTTATATGTGCTCAGGTGAGTGGAAAGCATCATTCCCATTTATAGGAATAGACCCCGCCATGTAGCCAGAGGTGGGATTTGATCCCAGCTCCATCTTGTTCCGTATCTGACAATGTGATTGCAACAGGTCTGTGGTCAGACACAGGCTCAAACTTTGCCCTTTCCCTTGTTCTCTGTGAGGCCTGAGGCTGTAGAATGTAGAATGGGGACAATGAAAGGTCCTATTTCACAGAGTGAGGACTGAAGCCAATGAGTGCCTGTTGCAAAGTTCAGCATAGTGTGGTTCCTGGAACATAGGTCATGCTCAGAAAGGGACAGTTTCTTTGGTGACAGTGAGGATAATGATAGTGGTTTTCTTTTGAGAATGACATTACTTCAGATTCTGGGGTGGAATTAAAATTTAGTAGCTGAACCAAGATGCTTGGTTGTAGTAGACAGTTCTGGGCACTGGAAGGTAGGAGCAGAGACTGCTGCATGGGATACCCCCAACCTCTTCCTCCCTCCTGCTGCCTCACCAGATTGGTCAAAGAGGCTTTGAAGAAGTCCAACATCTGTTCTTGGCTCATCTGCTCCATTTTATCCAGCAGACCCAAGGCCTGTGGGGACACCAAGGTGTGTTCAGTTTAACTGACTGTTGTCCCAAATCTACTCCCAATCCCAGGCAGAAAGCATTCACAGATCAGGCCAGGAGCCACATGTGGCTACGTCCCACTAGTCCACAGACTCCAAAAGATAAACCTCAAATTAGCAAAGGATGTGGTGGCTGGGGACAGTGGTGCCGCATACAACAACCAGTAACTGATGGCAGGAGTATAGAGAATGAGATTTTATTTAATAGTTTTGCAGAATAGCATTAAGAACCCTAGGAGCTATAGCAGAAGCCACAGGAAAAGTTACAAAGGTCAAATGTTGGCTTTACATGCTACAATGATAGGAGTACCAGCCTCCAAAAAGCCCTGATCCCTGAGCTCAAATCCTAGCCCTGCTATCTACTAAGAACATGATCTGGTAAACTCTCTGTGTCTCAGTTTCCTAATCTGTCAAGGAGCAAGGGCAATGACCTGCCTTATAAGAATGTTATGAGGAAAAAAAAAAAGAATGTTATGAGGACTGAGTTAATGGATATAAAAGGCCTGACAGTCCTGACAAGGTGGCCCAGTGCTTAAGGCAATGGGCCCTGTCAGAGTAAACACCATGAAGAACCACACTATTTATTAAAGTTCACTTCAATGCCTCTTAACTATTAATCTGTGAGAACAGGAGCAGAAAATTTACAGATGAACAAACAGAGTGTCCTAACCCCTAGTGTTACGATTTATAGCTATATACTCCCACCGTAGCCTCATACGCTCATCAGTGGGGTTTTGGGGAGATAATTGAATCATGGGTGTGTGCTATTCACTGTGGATTAGCCCTCTGATGAGTTCATAGCTAAATGTGATGTTGGGAGGTGAAGCCTAATTGGAGGAAGTGGGTCACTGGAGCATGGCCTGGCACCCTCTATCTAATTCTTTCCTTCTTGATCTTTCTTTGCTTCCTGTTGCCGCACCGTGAACTGTTTATCCTCTGCTATGCCAGTTGAGACTAGGACTGAAACGTCTACCAACTGTAATCCAAAATAAAGCTTTCCTCTTCTGTGTTTTGTGTCTCAGTGGTGAGAAAGTAACTGAGATACTCAATACATGTATCTCAGAAGGTGAGCACATTTGGAGAACATGTTGTTAGGAAGCTAATCCAGTTACATGAAAGTGATTTGATTGCAAAGGAAACACCATATACAAAAATTAACTTCCCAGCTTCTCATGTGGTGTGTACCTCCACTCCCAGCATTCCAGATGACTATAATAAAAGGACTGCAAGTTCAAGCCCAGGCCTGGCAACTGAGTGATTTAGTAAGACCCTGTGTCAAAGCAGGAAATAAAGAAAGGGCTTGGGAGGTAGCTCAGTGTGAAGGCCTTGGGTTCATTCCCCAGTGTTGAAAAAAAAATTCCAATGAATCATAGACCTAAAAGTAAAGAGCCAAAATTATAAAATTGTTAGAAGAAAATAATACGGGACTAAATCTTTGTAATGTTGGATTAGGCAAAGCACAAGCAACAGAACAAAAAAAAAATGAACTTCAAAGATGAAAAAGTTTTGTTGCAAAGGACATTGGCAAGGAAGTGAAAAGGCAACCCACAAAATGGAAGAAAGCATTTGCAAAGCCCATGTCTGATAAGAAACTTGTATCCAGATTGTGTAACTTGGCTGGACAAGGTGGTTCATGCCTGTAATCCCAATGCTATGTGTTCTCCAAGGGTTCAGTGTAGGAAGCTTGATCCACCCATGTGGCAGTGTAGGGGTACGATATGATGGATCTTTAAGCAGTGGGAACTAGTGGGAAGTGTTTAGACACTGGGAGCTTGTGTTTGGAAGAGATTAATGTAGTCCTCACAGGATTCCTGCTTCGTCTTCCTGAGAGCCAATTTTGTTATGAAACAGCCCTTCTCTTTCTGCCTCTCTAGAATGAGGCTGGCGAATATGGAATGAGTGTATATCATTAGTGTCGATAGCAGGTTATTTGTACTTTCAGTCTCTAAAACTGTGAGCTAAAGAAAACTTTTTTATCCCATCCAAGTACTAATCAGGCCCAACCCTGCTTAGCTTCTGAGATCAGATGAGATCGGGCACGTTCAGGGTGGTATGGCCATAGACAAGAAAAATTTTTCTATACAAATTATCCAGGCTCATGTATTTCCTCATATTAGTGGAAAACTAATATATTTGCATAAAAATTTCTACAAGAATGTTCTCTGAGAATTATCTATAATGGATAAAAAGGTGGAAATACTCTGTTATAGATTATATCTAGATGTACCCTCAAAGCCTCCTGTGCTTATAGATGGAGCTTTTGGAAGGTGGCTGGATCTAGGGTGTGTGATTCTGGATCTGGGGTATATAAATGTGGATTATGGCTGCGTGATCACTGGGTAACTCTACTGGATGGATTAGCAAGATTCGGCATGTAGCTGAATGGATTTACTGAAGACAGAAGGCCCACCCTGGGAATGGGAGGAACTAAACAGCAGGCTTTTAGCCTGAATGGGATAAAAGGGGAGGGAAGGCTTGATGATTGCTGCTTTGTGCTTGTCACATCATGAACTGTTTTCCTCTGTCAAGCTAGCCAGCCTTGGAGCTACCTGACTATGAACTGAAACCTCTAGAAATTGTGAGCTGAAATAAATCTTTCTTCTTTTAACTTGTGGGTGTCAGCTATTTTGTCCCAGCAATGAGAAAAGTGACTAAGACACAATCTAAATGTGTATCAACTAATGGATAAACAAAATGTGATATATCTAGTTATACCATTGAGGCCCTGGCCATGAAAAAGAATGAAGGCCTGATACATGCTACAGCTTGAGAAAACCTTGAAAACATCATGAAATAGATCATACTACACAAGACATCTATTTTATATTTCCCTTTCAATGAAATGTGCAGATTAGGTGCATAAGTAGATTTGACAGAAATATATTAGAGGCCAACAGTAGATTAGTGGTTGCCAGTGGTGGTGGCAGAGTAACAGCTAATGAGATCTGGGCTTCTCTCTAATGTAATGCAAATGTATTGGAATAAGCTGTGAAGGTTGTACGACTCTGTGAATATACTAAGATTCACTACAGTCTGTTTTATAGGGGTGAGTTTTATGTTGTGTATGTTATGTCCTAATAAAGCTGGTTTGGGGAGGTTTTTTTTTTTTTTTGAGATGGGATCTTGTTATGTGATCCAGGCTGACTTTGAACTCATTATGCAGCCCAGGATGGCCTCAAACTCATGGCAATCTTCTTTCCTCAGCTTCCTGTAACACTGCACCTGGCTAGAGTAGACATTTTATTTTATTCTATTTTTATATTTTAGGGAAGGGTCTACAGGGTGTTCAGGGTCTCACTACTAGATTGGACTCATAGTGGTCTGCCTATTTACAGCCTCTCAAGAGCTAGAATTGCAAGCAAGTGCCACCACGCCCAGTCTCAATTGAGGTCTCAGTGTGCCCTGGGGGCAGGGACTGGCCCAGCATGGCAGCCCCGGGGATTGTATACCAGCCCCTGCACCTGCTTGCAAGAGTTTTAATCTGCTGAGCTGTTTGGCTGGCCCTTAGAGCAGATATTTTAAATAATGATGGTAAAAACTGTTAAGGTTGCAATAGAAACCTGGAGGCTGACCTGAATTTGGAGGGTGCTATGGCAATGGCCATATGCATGAAGCATGTGGGGGGATGTTTTCATGAGGGGCACTTCTCTTCTCTTCTCTTCTCTTCTCTTCTCTTCTCTTCTCTTCTCTTCTCGTCTCGTCTCGTCTCGTCTCGTCTCGTCTCGTCTCGTCTCGTCTC